AATGATTTCTGCTCTTAGACATATCAGATTGTCAGTACTGGTTTGTAAGGTGAGTTAAGCTTGTCCAGGACAGGGTTGGCTTTCTGGGCTGCCAGTGCACGTGGCTGACTCATGTCCAGCCTCTCATCCACCAGCACTCTGAGTCCCTCTCAGCAGGGCTGCTCTCGATCCCTCCATCTCCAGCCTGGATTGATCCTGGCAGTTGTCCCCACTCAGGTGAAGGAAACAGAGTAGATTGTTTAAATATGAAGATGCCTTTTTGCTGTCATGTTTTCAGAAAGTTACAGCACTTTAAGGGAAAGAAAATAAGCGAGTAGAGATATTCCTTAATATGTTCCTGTGCATCTGGTGAAAGGAAACTAAGCTCTCAAGAGGAAAATAGCAAAAGTTGCATTGTTTGGGTTGCTGGGGAAATCAAGTCTTAAACTCTGGAATCAGAAAGCTTAAACTCTATTACAGAGTTTAAATCTGTTTTAAGACTGTTTACTTTGCTCTTTGCAAAATGATTTGTTTGAGCTCAATCCAGCATAGGCCTGGGAAGACAAAAACCCGGTCACAACTTAGAGCTTGCACTGCCACAATGTGCACTGTGTGTGATGCACACAATGAGGACAGGGCTCTAGGGCAGTTCTGAACATGATTCTTTTAGATGCATTTTACTCCTTCCCTGTGATGCTTTTTCCTCTCAGGAAACTCTGGAAAGGCAAGACTGAATTTTATAACCTATTTCAGAGAACATTTGCAGATACACAGTCATTGAGACTTTTCCATAATGGTATAGCAGCAACTTTATAAAACATCAAAGCTATTTTTACAGTGGGAAACATGTCCATTTTCTGAGGCACAATGTTTTAGCAGAAGTTCACTCCTTGCTGAGATACTTGGAATGTGGAATACTGACTCTTGTTCTGTGTCTCCCTCAGGAGAGGTGGCAGCTGCAGAGCCTCGTGGTCCCCAAGCTGAGTGTCCGGGGTGCTGTGTGACACATCACCCAGAATGGAAAATCCTAGAGAGCTGCTTCCATGGGGGAGTGGCTCTGGGAGACTTTTTCCCCTGTTTTGCAAGTTTCTTCTTGCTTGCCACTGCAGCCAGCAGAAAACAAGGAAGAACTTGCAAACTGCAGCCAGGTACAATATATTTGACGCAAAATAGGAGCTCTTTGATAGCTGTGATTTTATTTTTCTGATGCAAGTAAGGTTCACATTATCTTAACCCAGACCAGAGTATGGGTGAAAGAGACTGGAAGATCTCTGCTTACATGTTTCACTGGTGATTAAACCTTAAATGTGGCAAAACAATCAGTAGCTTTACCAGTTTCCTAAAATGGAACACAAGCTTCCAACCCATTTCAGCTTTGTTATACCTGCCTGCAGGGGGACACAGCCAAGTGCAGAATTACCATTTCTCCTTTAAACTTCCCTTTGCCATCTTTGTATTGGGATCCTCTCTGTGGTGCTGCTTTCTGGTGAGTACTGTTCATAGGAATATTTTGTACTGGACAAGACTGAGGCTGCCTCAGGTGTGAGATGCAGTCTGAAGGGAGTTACTGTTTCCAAAACTGTTTCTATGTGTACAGAATTCAGGGTAAACCTGAGGAATCAGCAAACTTCCCCCTACCTCAGCCCTTCCCTGCCTCGTGGCCACAGTAGGTGACTGTGTAGCTGAGGCACACTTCCCTTGCCATCCGGAGGAGGGATTCCTTTTCTCCTGCTGGATTTGTGCAGAGAGTCTGTGGAGAGTTTGACTGCTGTTTATGTGAAAGCCCAGGAGGCAGCTTCATAGTCTCTTTGCTTTTCAGTGCACATTTCACTAGAGCTGGAATTTGGGAGTAAAAATACATCAAAAGCCTAATTGAGAACTAAATTCTGGGTCCAGTGAAGAGTTAAATGTGGCCTGGGTGGCTTTGAAATGCAGCAGTGTAATGCTGTGCCTGATTGAAGGTTTTGGGAGGTGAGACAGTGAGACAGCAGGAAGTCACAACTGCAACAGTATTCTGTAACTTTTTGTCTTCTGTTATCTGTTGCTCCAATTTTTCTTCATGAACAGTATCCTGCATGCTGAGTGATAGCTGCTTGCCACTCTGGAGATGCCTTGCACATCACCATGTGGAGAATTCTTGATTTCTTTGACATATGCATGGTCATATGCTCTTGATTTTGTCAGTGATAGTGTAACTGCGTTCTGTGGCCAGCCTGCATGTTTATCCCAAAACTGAAGGCACTGGGAAGAGTGGTGCTGAGGGGCAGGGCTTGTTTGCTTGCCTGTGTGCCTGTTGCCTGCCTGTCCTGGTCTGTACTGTGTCCATGTTCAGCCTAGGCTTGAAACCAGTTTGCTGATCTCTTGTGTTCCACAGTGAATGGTTTTAGTCAGTTATCTTCCTTTTTTCATTATATTCCCATTATCTGCTCTGAGAAAACTAACTTGCATGTTTTTGGGGTCTGGATTATCTTCCCTGTAATTGCAACCTGCTGCAGTCTTTATGTGGAAAATCAATCTTTAAGTACATGTGGGAACCATGCCCTTTTCCATTTCACCATTTCCTGGTGCATTTTCTTGAGGAGGTTAATTTATGCAGTTTTATTTATTAAGCAGTCTATATGCAGATTGCTTTCCAAGAAGTGGTGATTTTCTATCACTCCTGCTCATGGTCTGGGAAAGAAGGAGAGAAGAAACTGGAACAGGACCACTGAAAAGATAGAAGAGAGGGCTGAGGTATTGGGAGAGTCACTGGGGGCGTTATGGCCACAGAGGGAAGAGAACTTGGTTTTATGGAGTGCTGCTCTGCCACAGAAGGCAAGCACATGAGTTGCTCTAGATACAGCTACAGGAACAAGCTGTGATGTGAAAAGCTTTCCTGAGGTCAAGGAAAGATTGAAGGAAAGAAGGAAATTTTGAAAGTGGAGTCAAAACTGACAGTGACTTGGTTTGTTTACCAGAGTGCTCAGAGCTGTCATTTCAGAGGGTACGAATATATTCTGCGTTTTGAGCCAAGGTAGGCAAGCTTCATCCAGAACATTTAATGTATAAAGATAAAACAAAGAAGCTGTGGCTGCCCCATCCCTGGAAGTGTTCAAGGCCAGGTTGGATGGAACATTGAGCAACCTGATCTAGTGGAAGGTGCTCCTACCCATGGCAGGGAGTTGGAATGAGGTGATCTTTAAGGTTCCTTCCAACCCAAAGCATTCTGTGATTCTATGAAAAGTCAATGTAGACCAGTTCTCTTTTGTCTGCAGTGTTACAGAGCCAGGATTAGCACAGGTTTGAGATGTGATTTCTTACTGATTGATGTTAGAATGGAAGATACTTAATATTAATCAGAAAATATTTAGAAATTAAGTCAAATGAACAAATTATGAGACTGGAGAAACCAAGTGTTGTGTGTTGGTGAATACATTTCTCTGACACACCTAGACTAGGAGGTTGCCAGTGCTAGAAATAATGAGTTTTCTTGACTCCATTGTTCACCTAAAGGACCATTAAACACCCTGTAATGCCTGAAAATGTCTGACAAATATTGATTCCCTCAGCTGTTTCTGATAGAGCAGACACCCAGCTTTTGTTTCTGCTGGCTTTTTCAATGTCACCAGCTTTTTTAATTCACCAGCAAATCTACCGTGTCCTTGATGTGCCTCAGAGACTGTGATGCTGTGTTAGGGATGCCTTTGTGGTAGACTGGATTTGGTGTGAAGTTCTCCTGGTCCTTCTGCTGATGACCTTTTCCTCTCTACAACTTTCCCATTTACCTGCAGCTTTTCCCTGGTAATTTCAAAGGTGTTCCCAAAGTGTGTTGCTGCTCAGCTCTGCTTTTCTGTGTCGTTACACGGCTTATAAAATGCTGTAAGATGTCAATTTTTCTTCCTTTGCTTTGCCCAGGCAAACAAATCAGTAAGCTGAGTTTGAGTGATGGGGATGAAGATTTGTGTTGCTGTTTGTTTTCTTGTGCAGTAGCATGTCGTTGGTAGAAAATGAGTGTGCCTGCTCTGGGGTGCTCTGCTCCCAGTGCAGGCAGCTGGTGCCAGCCAAAGGGAAATCCTCACTATTTAGTGGTGCATGTGCAGGAAGTGTTGAAAAAACTGAGTGTAGTTTTTCTAACTCTCTATTTCCTGTTAAAATTATTAATATTTAGATAGCCACAAGGGAGGGGAAAAGGGTAAAAGGCCCTGTGATAAAATTAATGCAGATTTTCTACTCTGTGAAAAATTCTGTCTGAAATACAAGTGATAAAAAACTGATTAGACTTTAAAAGTTATAATGATGCTGTAAGCTAGTTGAAAAATAAAACTAAACCCATCTAGACTGAAATATTTTCAAAAGGCAGATTTAACCCAAGAGAAGCCAGAAGATTTTTAAAGCAAGGATGTGAGCACTGTCCCTGATGGTCTCTCACAGGGTGAGAGATAGTGTTTCTTGCCATAATAATGATGCCGTGGTAGACTGTGCTTCTGTTCCTGGCAAGGACCATGACTTTTCTTCCCAAGCTGAGGCAGATCTGGCAGCCCTATGCCTTTCTCCTCATGAGGAGGTGAATAAATGGTGTTACAGCTCTTCTGTACCTGAGTGACTCACGGTTGTACAAGTAGCAGCAGAGCCAAGAACAGACATGAGGTCTCCTACCTGCCAGTCCAGTGCTCTGTACACACAGTTGTACTAGTTATTGGAGAGGTACCTGTTAGACAAGTAGAAGGGTTTCAGTTTTTCCTCCAGATTTCCTGGGTTTTTTTTCAGTCTAAGCTAAGCCTGGCAGTCAGTCTAACCTCACATTTAATGCCAAGAGCAAGTGTTAGAAACTAGGAGAGAACAGGATTTATAGCTGGCTTAGAGCAGTAGTAGCCTTTGGGCTGCAGCCATGTAAAGTGAGTCTTATTGCCAATTTTTTTTCTTAGATGTTCTCTTTCTGATACATCACTATTATTAAATGCATTATTAATATTTATTAAATGCTTGAGAGCATGTGTGGCACTGTACCAGGACGAGAGCAGTGAGGGACTCAGTTTCCATGGCAGCAGGAGCACAGTCCTGTACTTGCAGAACCAGAAGGGCTCTTTTTGGCAACTGCTCTCTGTGCTGTGATTACTTTTTCTTTTTAAAGATAGATCTATAATTTAAAATCTAATTCATTAGCACTGCAGAATCTTGTCCATCCTGAATGCGAATTTTGCCTGCTGTAAGTTTCTTTATCTTTTTTTTGAGTTCTAGTAGCTTGGTTTCTGTAGCTTCTGTGGTTATGATTTCGTTTACTTGCAAAACACTGAAAGAGGTGAAAGAGTGTATTTAAAATCCATTGTAATAGATGGAAATTTTCTCTTGATTTTGTTTAAGTTTGGAATGTTATGTTGTTGTACGCTTCTCTCCCTTTCCAGGTAGCCTATAGCATAGATTCATCAGTTAAACTAATTGTTGAAGAAACTACTGTGTACATACAACTGACAGTAAACTCCTAACTGCACTATTTCCCTCATTTAGATAACTGCTCTGATTCCAGGTTTTAACTTAATATTTTATTTTGACTGGCCTTATTTCATACTTTTTTCATGCTTCCTTCTTAGAGATGTTATGTGTAACATGATGTACATTGAGGTGACATTTTGCTTCATTTCAAAGGGTGAATGAAATTTTCTTTTGATCCCAAGTCTTTGTCCTACCATGTGTTACCCAGTAGAACTTTTCTGTCCATCGTTGCTTTCCATGTATAAAGTTAATATGATTCATTTCTTTGGTGACTTTTCAGGCTTTTTTCTATCCTTGTTGATGTAGATGAGTAAGGTTGTAGGCATCTTTCCAGATGTGTTGCATGGGTCTCCTACAATACCATCTGCTTGGTTTGCTGTTCTAGCAGTGATAGTGTATCAGTAAACCTTGCTGGACTTATTCCATCCAGATATGATGCTACTTCATGTGATCTAGGGAGAAGTTAAGAGCATCAAAATCAGCAACAGCTGGAGTAGTGAATATGCTTTCACGGAGAATGAGAATTTCAGCGTAAACTTACAACTGTTCCTTCAGACCTCTCCTCCTGCATCCTGACTGTGTCTGTACAACTACTCAAAAACAGAGAAAATGGCCCAGTTCCTTTGATAACAAATATCAGTGCTGACTGATGTAGGCCAAGAAATACACCTCCTACCTCTGGAACTGAATGCTTCTATTCTTGTTCCTGCAGTTGTGTTATGCTGATTACACATTTGTCATCCCACACCTGCTTAGCAGTTTAGCTTTCTATGAATCTTCACCCTACAAGTGGACTGAATGTTATCTCAGGGATGTGAAAACTGATGCTGAGGGAAGTTATCCTTTGCCCAAGGCTGTAGAGTTATTCAGCAACTCTTTGTGAACACTAGTGACTCATGAAGAATGTCCCCAGATTCTTGTTTTCTGGTCCATTATCACATTGTTTTACACAGATAATCGTGTTCCTTGGATTAAGTGACTGCTCAAGGGCTTAGCCTTTGCCTTTGTCATACACAGTTTGTAAAGTATTCAGGAAAATCCCAGTGTTGACACAACTCACTGTTTCAAAATTTTAGTGTTGGGTCAAGTGCAAGAAATACTTCAAATAGATCACTTATAGTATTTAGTATCAGAGACACATGAAATACAGGTGTTTGAGGAGGAGTGTAATGATTTGCTTTGCATTTCAAAATGGACTTCTTTCTTTTTGTGCATTCCAACATGTCCTGAAGAATAATAGAGAGACATCACTGCAGCCACCTCTTCAGCTGGCCAAAAGTTCCTGTTTGAGACTGCACCTGACAGAGTTTTTCATTGCTAAAGAGGCTCTTTCCATGGAAAGAGGGCCTCTCCAGACCCTCCTTTACCTCCATGCCCACACCTTGCTGTTATCTGAGCACTGTTGAAGGAACTTATCACCAGTGCACCCATTCCTCCATAAGTTATTTGTGACGTATCCTTTTCGGGAAAGAACCAAGGTAACTGAGGAAGTTTAATTTGCTATTATGTGTTTTATTGCTGCTAGTCCTTTCCTTCTTCCTTCCCTGGAAAACAATAAAGATAACAGTTTAGATTGCACAACTCTGAAGGTTGTGTAAGTTGGGCTCGTTATACGGTTTAGAAGGGGTAACTAAATGGGCACTATTCTTTAGCAGGTGATAAATAGGGAGTTTCAAAGGGAAGCTCTGGAGCAGTCTCTGCCAGGATCCCACTGGTGTGTTGAAATTTCACGCTTTACTTCAAGGAATTGCTCTTTGCTGGGTGATTTCTGTTCCCCCTTTTCATGAGTTCTTTTAACACAGAAATTTGTTCTATTTTTTGTAAAATAATGTGTTATGTATGTTTGCCCAAGGAGCCAGTGCATGTTGATCCCTGAAGTTAAATAAGGATTAAGGAGCTGTGTTGACAGGTGCTGAAAAGAATTGTATCTGTCCAGTTCTTGACTGGAGGGTTTCTGCTTGTGGCAGGGCGTTTCAAAGAGTGTGAGTGCAGAGCAGGGGAGACATCCTGGGGCCTGCAATATAAATTCAGCATTTCCCATGGTGCTGAATATCTCAGTCCTGACCTTGAAAACTTTTCTAGAGGGAAATGATAAATAATGTACTTAATTCTTCTTCCTGGTTGTGGATGGGTATGTGCCTGAGCAACATGGAGCCTTTCCCACACTTGCACATGGCATCTCATTGCCTTGCAATTCCTTCAGGTCTTTCCTCGTGAGTTTGGCCATTAATTCTCATGGCCCTGTTTCACAGAGTACCTGTCCTCCACAGCAGTGCACCAAGCCTTTGGGAACACCTTCCCTCGCTCAGGCATTGCAGGAGACTCTGCAAGGCTTGGCTGAGAGCAGCAGGCATTTCTTCACATTTGGTTATGCACGCAGTCATGTGAATGCTGCAAGCCTTATTTTGTGCTAATGCTTGTAGAAAGGATTAATAGCTCCTGCACAAATGCTGTACTTCAGCTGGCAAGAAGATGCTAAGTTCACCCTGCCCAGATCTATTTGCTTAATTTACAGTATTTTTTCAATTTTGAAACTGAAATCCAGGTTGAGGCTGCCAGGGTGACAAGTGCTGGAGAGACCAGAGCTGACATGGAGCTTCACACCTGCCAACTGTGGATTCCAGTTGAGGCCAGTTGTGCACCAAATTGTTGGGCATTCTGTGAACTGTATTGGCAAAGAATAGCCCAGGGGATGTGTGTTCACAGAACAAAAGCCATCACCAGTCACTGAGCAGTTCTGATCCTCCAGCTTTCAAGGTCAGGACTGAGATATTCAGCACCATGGGAAATGCTGCATTCCTGCAGCAAGAGTCAGGTTTGTGCTGGGGTTACAGGGGCTGTTGCCCTGGCAGCTTCATCTCTGCCCCCTCAGCACACCGATGGAGTGTTTCAAGAAAACCTGAAACCAGAGTATCCTTTCAGGAGACTGTTTTCTGTCTTTTCCTTCTCCAGGCAAGCTGGATGGCTCAGTGGATTGTCCATAATAGTAAGGGTTGAGCAGTGATCCTTGTTACTTACAGGTTCCTTTTCTGTGCTGTGTTGCTCAGGCTTCATTATCATATCACAGGGTTAATTTTAGAATGCAAAGAAGATGCTTCTCTGGCAGTGAAAACCACAGAGGAGGAGGAAGGCAGACAAGTACAGGACCTAATTTGCCCCCTTCCCACAATATTTTTTATTTCTTTCTGTGGGGGTGTGTGAGTTTGAATGTGGCATTAGAAAGATATTCAGTGAGGGGTTTAGGGCAGAATCTTGCTGTGTTGTTTTTGAGTAGGGTTTTCTCCCTGCTACTTGTTTTTACTGAAATCATGTGGGATTAGGTTTCTTGAGGGGGGGGGGGAACGAACCTGATGAGACTTAGAATGACAAACTGGAATTCCCTGAAGATTTTTTTTTATTTTTTTTTTTTTAATTTATGGCCATTTTTGTGACTGTGGTACACCTGAAAGCTGGTATCCTTTTTCTTGGAGATGGTTGGTGGTGAATTTCCTGTAGATGAAGCTTTTTGGTGCATCAGCTTGACCTTTAACATAGAAAAAGGGCATGTTTAAATGTCATTTTTCTACAGTGATCGGTTTGGTTTATCTGCTACTCTGTTGAGGATTTTTTTCTCTGCTTTTGTAATAGCAGAGATTTTTACAGCACTTTGACATGTAAGAATGATGGAGGTTTCACTCTCTTACATTGGATAAACTCTTCTCAGTAGATGGGAAAGAGACGACTCATACCTGTGAGGGCTCTCTGTGTGTGGGAGAGAAAGAGTTATATTTCTTGCTGGATATGAATTAGAAGAGTGAGATCTCATTTCATTCTGAACTGTTAGAAATCAAAATATTAAACAGTGAGTGTCTCGGGATTTGGGGGAGATATTTGCTGTGTGTTCTGTTCTAATTAATTGCAGTATTTGATGGAGTTTCCTTATTACTTTAATCTACGGACAGCATGGTTCCCTGATGTTGAAAGTTGAAGAAAGAAAGCATCTTGTCTGGTGATGGCTCAGCTTGATCCTGCTGCTGCAGAAGTCCCTGAAGAAATGCTGATCTCTTATTTCAGATTGCTGACTAAAACTTGGCCCTGTAGCTCCACAGCACAGGCCTGACCTCCTTGCTACTGTACTTCTGTTGAGACTGATGTCTCCTAGCTGGAAAAGCTGCTGCTGTGGGCCCAGAAAGACTTAAAGGAGATGGGTTTGTGTGGTCCAAGAGGTCCTGCTGAGATAAAAGCTCTGGCTGGGCTCCTCCAGAGAACATGTGGTGACCGTCCCCCCTCCAGGCAGAGTTTCACCTTGGGTGATAAAACCTTGTTTTATCTCCTGAGGTGAGCCTGTGAAATAATGGTGAAGGGAGCAGTGTTGGTGGGGGAATATGCTGGATAAAACATGAATTTTAAGTGATATTTCAAGGAATCTTTTGTCCTCCACAGTTAAAAACAGTCACAGCTGACAATAAGAAACCTTTCAAAACTCAAAAATCAGTGGTTTCAGTCCTGTGTTCTTCACAAAAATGTTTTCTGCAGCAGTTTTCACTAGGGTGTTACCCTGTTTTTCTTTCAGCCTCCAGAAGTGCATGGAGTGTTATTGTGGACCTACAAAACAAGTTCTAGGCTCGGACCAATGTTTTGTTCCAAGTGAGGATTAACTCTGTAATTCTGTTTTGGAGATGAAAGTACAGTTTCATTCCATTCCTGATGTCATGCATCCCCCAGCTGCATTGTTGTGTGAGGACTTGCCATTGGCAAGCCATGAAAATAGAAACCATCCATATTTCATTGACTATTCATTCAGTCTGTATCCAGTACTTCTTTTGCCTGTGTTTTCCAGTGTCCTGCTGGAGGGAAGATCAATCACAGGCATGTTTTAGTCTGTGATATTCCTAGTTTTATAATGATCTTGCTTTCAATTTGGATATTGTAAAATTGCCCCCTTAGGCTGCTTTGTCTGCGTCTACAGCTCTGCTCTTTTGTGGAAGGGCCAAGCTCCCTCCAACAGATGGTGTGTTATTCTACAGCTAAAGCACGTTCTTATGTGCTAAACTTCAGGTGTCTCTGCTTTTTGGAGCAAAAAGACCCAGAGCTCTCAGTGTGCTAAAGATATAGTGTATAGGTCTGAACTTTGACACAGGAGGGCTAGAAAAGCAGGAATGCACAAGGTTGATGTAATATTCCAGTTCTATTGAGAGCCTGCTTATGGCAGCAAAATCCTCAGTGTCCCTTTGACTTGCCAGTGCCTCTGGTGTTCACACTGCACTGAACATCACAGTAACTAAGGCTTCTCCAGGCTTGGCCCACAGTTTGCAGTGTTATCTGTCACAGAAGGAATAGACCCAAGGGAAATGAGCATTGTTACTCAGTCCCACAAAATGCTCCTCCTATGTCTGAGTTGAGCATCTCCAATTGGAGCTCCTTGTCCTGCCTGACAGTGCTGTATCCTGGCTTGGATGTGGCTTGGAAAGCCTTAATTATTACTGCTTTAATCCCCTTGCTTATGAAAAAACTTGAAGTTCGTATTCAGTTTTAGATATTGTGCAATATATTCAACTGACAAAAAAAAAAAGGCAAAACAAGAAAACCCCAACCTTGAGCCATTTGGAGAGGCGGTTTTTCCAGCTAAGCTGCAGGCTATTAGATTGCACAGCAGAACTCTTGGTGAGTTCAAAGTGAGTTTACTGTTGCTCTGTGGGTATTTAGTGAGTCAGTGTAAACCTCTTTAATTCTGTTACATCAGTATTGCAACTTACATCCTGCTTTTCCAATACCTTTCCTCAGCTAATAATAATAGGATTTTCCTGTAACAGAAAGGTACTAAAACACTTCCAGACTATTAGATTTTTAGTTTGACTGCAGAAAATGGGCACAAGAATTACCAAATGTGAGTAGGCACTCTCCATCTCTATCCCTGATGCACATTTGTTTTTAAGTGTATGAACCTGATGGAGATTTGTTTTGATGAGCTTTTGCCAGGTTGGCCTTTTGTTCCAACAGCATTATTTCTGAGTAAGTGAGTCAAATAAACTGCCTTTGAGTTTTCCAGCATGCTGTCTCTCCTCCAGATGAAAAGCTGGTAATTGTGATTCAGTTCTGCCAAATCTATTCTGTTACAAAGTATTTCTAGGTAAGTGGCTATAGAGTAAATCTGTACTGCTCTTGCAAGGATCCTTGCTCATGAAGGCTTCACACAGCCCCTCTGGGGACAGCGTTGAGGGGCTGTGTTCTGGGGGAACGGGCAGATAAAGGTCAGGCCTGCTGAAGGGTGATTTGGGTGCTTTGGACTGCTGTGTCTGCAGCTCTCCACTGGGAAGTTACCTCCCTGTGCAGAGAGGTCATAGTGTGAGCTTGCTGGATTGGGCTCACCCACTGGAAGACAAGGAGACCTAAAGAGAAATAAAATGTCACCACGGCTGACAATGACACTCCTGTGTAAGGTCTGGTGAGATGGCTGGAAACTCAGCCGTGCCTGAACTTCGTGGTTTTAATAAAAGAAACTTGTTGAGAAAATATGCTCAAAGTGGAGAATCCACAAAGAGCAGAAAGAGGATGTGATGGGAAAGGCAGGCTGAGAGCTTGACAAAACACGTCCCTGTTGCATCAGGCTCTGTGGCAGCCTCTCCCCTCCTCCCCCAAAGCAACTGTGTAAACTTAACCTCAAATATTGTCAGAGGAAATGCTTATCTGGGCACGAAGAGCTGTTCGTGCTCAGGCCTGCTGGTTCCAGAGCCTCAGATTGCTGGCAATAATGATGGTGTGTTCTGCATCACGTAGACCTCTCCTGTTCTTTGGGAGCAGAGAACTCCCTTCCAGCATCAGATGATGGCAGTTTGATCCCAGCTGGAAAGGTGAGTGGTTTTTCCCATCTCAGGGCTGAGTGTGGTGGGGCAATGGCACAGTTACTGGAACTTGCCAAGCAGTAGATGCACAACAGGAAAGCAGGAGACCTTTGCAGTGATTTATTGTTGCTATTTCCTGTGGAACTGGCTTTGCATACAGAAAACTATCACTGTCAATGCAGAGAAATGGAAGGGTGCAACTGCATGTTAGTAGGTGCTTTTCTGCTGCAGTAAAGTAGCAGTAGGAAAATAAAAACACCTACCTTACCTGTCTGACTGTTAGTGGGGCAGATAGGCCCTGAAAGTTAGGGTTATTTAGTTTAGGGTTAAGGTTATTTACTAGGTGTCCCGTTTTTTAAAAATGGTAACAAGAAGTCTTATTATAGCCATCAAGGGGTATGCAATGAGGGCTGGGTACTCTTTTAAAATGTGAGCTCTTTATTCAGGCAAGGGCAGAGACTTGGTGTAAAATGCCTCTTATATTGCTGCCTTTCAACGTTTGTATTTGACAGGCTCCTTCAGCTCTCATTTTCCCAGTTTACCCACTTGTGACACAGGGAATGGTTTGTCTTTATTTTTACAGAATAGTGCAGTAGATAGATGGTCAAAAGAGGGGAGCAGGAGCTTGGTATTGCTGCTTAGTTAAATGTATGTGCTTGCAAACAAAATCAGCAAATTGGCATTTGGTCAAGAGAAGCAGCTTTCAAGTTTAGAGGGACGGACTTCTGAATCCAGTAAGAATATTGAATGCAACCCAGATGGCATCCTGGAGGGAAGTTTTGTGGCATCAATTAGCTTGTAGGTGACCGTGCTTCCAGCCAACTGTGAGTTATCTGGCAGCTTGCCACTTGACTGCTAGTGAAAATGCAAGAGCAATGAGATGAAATAGAGTTCCTGAGAGACAAAGAGAAAGATGTCTTCACTTGAGAAAAGAGGTTTGTGGATACTGTTTCTTAAATGATTTAAGCTGTCTGCTTTTGTACAGCCACATAGCTCAGCCTCATTTATATACGTTTCTTTGTCACATTTGTATATATAAACCCATTTAAAACTCCTCTCAAATTTCTCATGTAATTCGTTCTCAGGAAGGAATCTGCAAATAAAAGGGCCACCAATAGCTGGACCAGTGCCCACCAGTGCCCTTGCAGCTGTTGGAAGGTGAGCTTAATTTAACATTTCCTTCTGGAAATAACATTCTTATCTAGATTTTAGGACTTGTGTATTTCTACTGCAGATTAAGACTTAATGAAGCTGTTGCACTCTGGACTCAAAAGCTGCTGCCAAATCCCTGAAAAACGGGATGCATTGTAGTAGACTGTAGTACCACAGTTTCAGATCATCCCCCTGAGAACTGAGTCTAAAGTGTGGTAAGAATAAACACCCATATGGAACAGATGTGGGGATGTGACTTCTCTGATGTTACAATGAACTGGGATCAGTTTTTATTGACTTACAGTTTATGCATCAGCTAACAGAGCTATTTCTGCATGGCTTTTCTTTTCTTAAAAAAGTTCGTTTTAAAGAGACTTAAAATCATCTCCATGTCTCAGGTGCTAACATTTCAGATGGCTTTTGCATCTGTGCAATGAGGGATAATTAGGTTTGTAGAGCAGATGTTCTGGAAGCTGCACTGCAGTATGCCTGGCTGTTTCTGGCTACAAAGATTTACTCCTGGGTGCACTTGTTTTCTTTTTATGTAGAAGAATGGCAAATTCCCAAGCAGTCTTCTGTATCCAGTAAGGACTTCAAGATCTCACACTAGGTTTAGGCAGTAAATGCTTCCCTAAGAGCTTTAGAAATGAACAGTTTTGCTTTCAAGAATTTACTTCAACTGCTTAGTAGTGAGTTTTTACTCTGCACCGAAACGTGTTGTGGCTTTTGCAAAATGAGCAGAAGTGTTTGCAAAGAAGTAATGATGGTGAGATTTTTCACTCTGTTCTCCTGAGGCATAACAATTTGGAAAAAAAAAAGAAAGCCCCCATGGAAAACAGAATGATACCACTTGCCCAGAATTGCATTTTGTTGTGAACCACCTTGTGCCATACTTTTGTTGGAGGGAGAAAAGGGATTTTGTAAATAACCAGATAGGAACAAGGCTACAAGCTGGGAATATGGACATAGGCCAAGAGTGACCTAGGACTGGCTTTATGAAATACAAAATGTTCTTCACACTTCTTTTTGGGGATGTGTTTTTGCTCAGTTTTATCACATCACACAAGGTTGTCTGCTTCTCCCAGTGTAGCTGTTATGAAAAAAGCTATAAAATAGAGGTCACCTTTTTTATCCAAAAGTTTCATCTGATCTTTCAATGAACAGACCATATCATATGAACAGACCATATCATATGTAGATGTGCTTTCTCTCATCACTTGGTCAGGTGTGCCTGTTTTTCACAGACAAGAGCTTAGGGAGCTGGTCTTCTGCCTTTCAAAGGCTGTCCATTGGCCTTCATTCCAGAGGAGTCAGGGCTCTTCCCAAGAGGACTTTGCTATGTCATTCCTCCTGGCATTACTCCTATACAGCACACAGGTTTGTTTTTACAACTTCAAAAACATCTGGTGTGAGAAACAACAACAGCTTCAAGGAAGGACCTGGAGACATAGTGCTAGAAAATAAAAGCTTTCAAAGCTTCCCAGGAGTGGATGTATGTGGAAAAATACTACACACTCAAAGTGATATAGTGGAAGGGTTTTTTGGGGTATTCTTTCTACTGAGAATCAGAAATGGGCACTAGTTTCATGTCTCTCTTAGTGATGCTGAGGTGGGTCAGTTATGTTCCAGTTTGGAGCAAACTCATGTCCAGTTTGAAGTCAGTGGAAATGTCAGGGATTTCCTGGATCTAGTTCTTGCGTTTCTGAGTGACTACTGAAGGAAGGAGCCTGGGCATGCATTCCTAGGGATCTTACAAGTAAAGTCAAAGCATAATGTTATTTTTAGATCTGATTTTTTAAAATGCCTGCTGAAAGAGCTTTCTCTCTCTGCTTTGCATAAGAATGAACCTGGCAATCAGATCCTCATGTAAATAAAACCTGAAGCTCGTTCAATCAATATTTTGTTCCTTTCTTGGCACGTACAGAATAAAATCACAGAAGAGCTAGTTAATTTTCACAATTAATGCTGATCTTGCAACAACAGTCACGATTTTAAGAGTCACCTAAAATCTAAATCTCTGCAAAGTTCTGGTCAGAGAACTTTTTTCTTTCTCCAGAGGTCACTTTGTCACGGCACTCTTCTGCTCTGAGGATTTTATTTTTCATATCACTTTTGGCAGAATCATGTTTGAGAGCTGCATGTTTCTCCTCTTGAAATACCGCAATAATTAGGAAGACATCCTGACAACTGAGTCATATGAGTGACTTTTCTCATCTTCAGTACAGGATGAATCCTCCTTGTGCCTGATGCACAGGAAGGTTCAATTCCTTCCTCTCAATTACTTCTAGTAGTTTCTGCAGTTATCTCTCAGCTGCTGTGGGGGGGGGAGGGGGCAAATGAATATGGCAGAGGGCTGCTGTGAATATACAATTTCTGTTGCTGGCAAAGTTCAAAGTCTGCTTCAATTTCCACTTGATTCTTTCCAAAGAATCCCTCCAAAATGTTCTAATATCTTGTCAGGGCTGTGCTCCAAGGATACTGGATGAACTCTCAAAACCCAAAGTGCTCCAGACCTTCCCGTGTGCAGCAGCAGCTGCTGCAAGGAGGAGCGGGAACAGCTCTCTGTTCCTCCTGCTAGCAACAGCAGGAACATATTGTAAAGGGGCACTGTAATATTTTAGTGCTTGCTGGGACAGTTTATTTTCTTTTTATCTCTGAGCTGTAAGGCACTTAAAATTGGGAAACTGGGCTGCTGATCATCAGCACCAAGAGCTGAACTTTAAATCTGATGCAGCCGAAGGTGTCCGAGGCTAACACACTGGTTCTACACTGGGGTGTTTCCTACTCTTCAGAGTAGGCAAGACCTTGATTTAACCTCTGAGCCCTCTACAGAGTCTGTGTTATTCAGTATAAGAAGTCCAATTTAATCCTCAGTCAGAATTTGAACTTCTGTGGCTTTTGCATTTTGAAGTTCACTCTGCTGCTCCTCAGGGATCATCTGCTGTGGGTTTATGCAGGAGCTGTGAGGACATTACTTTTTCCATTAACATGTGACAAACACTGGTGCTCCTGTCCCACCCAAGGTTTTTGGCATGGTACTGCATTCCTATCAAGTCATTGCTCTTAGGCTCATGGCTTCCCTAAACTCATGGGACATTTTAAATTCAGTTATTCATCATGGTCGATACTACTTGGTGGTTTTGTTGAATATCTAATATGATTTTTTTTAAATGCTTTTCATATTTTGT